TTTCTTGGCTAGATCGCCATCCATAGAACTCAACATTCAAATGCCATGACTTTGGTTTAAAATGGGTTGGGAGGGAGGAGGAAAAGCAACGAGGGAGCTCAAAGGGAGGTTCATCAATGGAAGATGGCAAGGTGGGTTTTAGAAAGTAGGCTTTTTTACGAAATGGGTTTCCTCCCGTAGGTGAAACCATGTGCTCTTCTCTCTCTTCAACCATCGTCTCCGGTGGACTCTCCATCACCAAAGCTCAAGATTTTTCTCTCTGTTTTTTGGTCTGAATCAAATATCGTTATTAAACAGAAAAGAACAAATTGGGTTTTGAAAAGTGGTTGGTTTGACGGTTCCGATTTCCATTGATGGAATCAAACTGAGCTATTTTGTCTGCTCTGAAAGACTGAAACAATGATATGACGCCTACTCTATTCTGCTGCGCTGTCACGTAAATGAAGGTTCAATCATAATCGTCCACCGTTTAGCGTCCTTCCGGCTTCTGCACAAAGGAAAGGAACACTGAAACGCGCGGCTTCCTCCACCATTCAAATGGGAGATAAACTTAGTTACAACAGATGTTTTGCTATCTCGGCCAATACTGTTGTGGCACGTGGAAGTGTTGTCACGCGTGTCACAGCATTATTAGCCGAAATAGCAAAATAGTATTATTCTCACTTAATGAAGAGATATTCTCATTTCATGAAATTCTTTCTCTTCAAAAAGATCATGCGGGTTACTTGTTTACAAAGTAAAAATATTAAATGCTTGAATTGATGGCTGTCTTGAAGAAAACAAAAAGTATAATGACAATTTAATTGTTGTTAATTGCATTATTGCTCTGGAAAATGAAATGAATAAAATTTGATAGTTATTTTACGAGTCATCATGAGTAACTTTCTGAATCCCGGCCAATTTAACATTATCACATTGAATTCTACAATATATTTGGTTTTTCAATGAGAAAATCTATAATAAAGATTTAATGTCATTCAGTTTATGTCACATGTATTTCACTCACACATAAATCTATATATAACTTACAATATTAATTTTTCGTTTGCAAAGAGAACAAAGAGTTTCTTAATAAATTAATACATAGATTTATATGTGAATGGAATACACTTGACATAAACTCAATAAAGAAGGCGATAAAGGAATGTATCTAGCATTCCCTCATCTTTAATACTCCGATTTCTTTTCCAACCTTTGCGACATTAATTTACACTACACTGTTGCATTGAAAATGTAGAGCCCAATTTTAATAGTGCCAGATTGGTTGGGATACATAGCTAAGAACAATGCTTATATAGGTGGATATTATCTACTGTTTTTTTCTTCTCAACTTTCTAGTATATAATAGAGTGTACGTGTGATAGATGAGCAATGTTATACTTTCCAAATATTTTTTTCGCAACCAAGAAGTATGACATCACGTTGGATTTTACAAAATGAGATGGGAGTGAATAGAAATAAGTGGGAGGTTAATAACGTATGGATCGTGGCAGAGTGCGTTGAGAAAGTTTGGGTTTTATGAGAAATTGGTGCAACCACGAAGTCTTCTCTCTCTTGAAGCTCAAGATTAAACACAGAGAGAGGGAGAAAAAAAGGAGTGAGAATTGTTTCGTGCTTTTGTGTGATGGGTTTGAAACATCTTTATGTGAACTTGTTAAAATGCTTTTACATTTTTTTTTTTTAATGTTAACCTGTATGTACATTTATGTGTCACGCCGGCAATGGCTGGCTAGCCAGTAGAGTTGTGATGAGTGAACGTGTGTTACAATCCCCAAGCTTTCTTTTTGTTTTTGGATTTGAACGAGGAGGACGACACGATTGGCTAAAACTTTTTATTTCATTTTTATTTAAAATTTTATGTCATCTCTGTTTAAAAGCCCTTTTCGTCTTCTTCTTCTTCTTCTTCTTCATCTTTTTCAGCCTTGAAATGGCAGAGGGAGCAGAAGTGTCTCACTGCATATATGAAGAGAGAGTGGAGAATATGGTGTCTCCAAAAGATGAGAAACAAAGGTTGAAATGGCAGAGGGAGCAGAAGTGTCTCACTGCATATATGAAGAGAGAGAGGAGAATATGGTGTCTCCAAAAGATGAGAAACAAAGGAGAGTTGCAAGATTCCTCAAGCCATGTGCCCTGAGTTTCAACAAAGCAGTGGCACCTCCAAGCACCCCATTGTTGTGTGAAGTCTTGGATCACAATCTTCAGCAATGGCCCTCTAGGGTTCTCTTCAAAGGCTGGAAGATGCCGCAGGCAAAATGGGATGAATGGGTTAACAGGCTTGCAGGTGAGTACTGTTCTATTTGGAACCAGGCAGGGATTTGCGATGCTATTTTGAGTTCTAGATATGAGATTAGGTGTACCAACAAGAATATCCTACTTGGGTTAGTGGAGTTTTGGTCTTCAGAGACCAACACCTTTGTTTTCCCTTGGGGGGAAGCAACTTTTACCCTTGAAGATATGATGGTTCTTGGTGGATTTTCAGTCCTTGGGAGGCCTGTGACAAAGCCTGTTAATGGGTTGTTGGTGGAAATTGTGGAGGAGATGGAGAAGAAGAGAGTAGAGATTTCGAGGACCAAGGCGAAAAAAGCCTGCCAATTTGTTTGGATCAAGCATTTCATGGAGCTGCAAAATGAGTACAAGTATGAACATGTAGCATTTCTGTCATTGTGGTTGTCAAGGTTTGTTTTTCCTTCTCTTCCTGAAGCTTGCATAGGGAGGCATGTTTTTCCCATTGCAGCACAGTTGTCACAGGGGACGAGGCTTGCTCTTGCCCCTGCTGTCCTTTCTGGTCTTTACAAAGACCTAAGCTTGTTGAAGAAACAATCACTTTCTTGTAGGGAGGAGATTTCAGTTCCTGGTCCATTTCAGCTTTTGCAGTTATGGGCTTTCGAGAGGTTTCAACCTCTATTAAAGAGTACCCCAAATGCTCTGAAACCGGGGGAGCCTCGGGCTGCCCGGTGGCACAGATTATCTTCTCGAGCAATTAGTCTTCCTCTTGTAAGAACTGTTCTTAAGTTGCAAGAGAATTTTCAATGGCGTCCTTATGCTGCTGATTTGATCAATTGGAGCTATTCATCGTACTATACAAAGAACAAACCGTCTTTTTTTCATAGTGCCAAGCACTCAGATGAGAATTTACGATCTTATATTAGATGCTTGTGCACTTCTGAGTTGGTTGGAGTAGAGCATTGTAAAGAGAAGTATTTTCCAAACCGCGTGGCAATGCAATTTGGAATGGATCAAGACCTTCCTGGTGAATTTTCAAAACTGTATTTTGCCCCAGGTACCAATGTTGGTTTCTTTGTCCCTCCAAGGTCCTTTGAGCCGGGTGTATCGGCTAGGTACTTGCATTGGTGGAAAATATACAAGTCTGCTCGCGCAGATACAATCAAGAAAGATGTCCAAGTGACAATACAGAAGATTGAAAAGTATAATGCCTCCATAGCGGAGAGGAATGTTCCGGTGCATAAGGCATCACCACAAACTTTGGAGAGGTCTAAACCTGAAGAGAGCCGCTCCTATGTGATTCCTGAGGTCCCTGGAAAATCCAATAATACCGTACAGCAAAAGGCCTCAGCTACTCCTGAATTTCCTAAGCAGGTTAAGAAAGAGTCAGCCCTTGATTATAGGAATGATGATCACATTCCACTTTCAGAACGTTTGAGACATCTTGGAAACAAACCAGCTTGTTTGCATAAGGCTTCCACTACCAGCCGACCAACAAAATTTGTTTCTTCAACCTCACCTGTTCAGGATAAGAATGGGAAGAAACGGAAGTTGGCCACAACAACTGAAGGGCCTGCTAAGAAAATAAATGCTGGTGATTTTGCTAAAAATCTGGTGAAGATTGCTAAGAAAGGGAGGAAGGGTAGTGATAATAAGGCAAGTGTAGAAGTTAGTGTACCTTTCAGGATGGAGCACAAGCATAAAATGGAAGCTAAAGTATCAGGAAAAGATGCTGCAAGAAAAGGGAAGAAAGCAATGGCTAAAGGGTCTCTCAATAACCCAATGGGGGCTGATGACCCTAAAAGAATGCCTAAAGGGTTTCTCAAGAACCCTGTAGCGGTTGATGGCTGTATGGTGAATGCTACAAATCAAACTCAGGGAGTTGGATTACTAATGAGGGTTCAGAATATTGAGAAAATTTTGGGGGTAAAAACTTGAACGGAAACGAAATCCACAGGGCACAAGTATCATGCACATATGGACTTTTTGGTGGTTTGGTATCTGTTAACGTATGCATTTTGCTTTCTTAGTTGGTTCACTGTCTTTGGATGTACTTAGAGCCGTGATTTTGCCGTAATGGTCTTTTGTTAACCCATTTATAAACAATTCCTGTTCCGTATCAGTAGTTAAATCTGTTACAATCAATAGGAAAATCTAGGTGTTTATGTTTCTGCCTAGCTGAATAATATTGTGCATTGTGCAAATGTAAGTTTCTTTCTTGGCTGCAGATGGACAAAATGGAAATTACAACACAGAGAGAGAGAGAGAGAGAGAGAGAGAGAGAGAGAGAGAGAGAGGTTGTTTGAAATTACTATAGTTATCTCAAGTTTTGAGTAAATTATTAATAATTTTCATAGAATTAAACATAGCAGATTGCTCAGAAAATCCCATGGTCTAAATGTTAAAACATTGCTGTCAAAGCAATTAATTTACAGTGCCAGCAAAATTCTGGAAAGATATATATGTGGAGATGGTTGGAAATGCATGGACGGGTTTTTGCCAGTTAAAGGAAGGTTAACTTTTTGGTGATGGAAATAATAGCAGGTTGTATTTTTGGCCTGCCCTGGCATTAACGCAAATAGATGGGGAGATATTGGAAAAAGAAAGAGAAAATAACAAAACCATTTTATGATTGTTAAACAAAAACAAATAGCTGTCTGCCCCTCTTTATTTAGCAAAATTGACTAAGTCTGTTTTCGCTGTCCGAACTCGATGGTTTGGATAGAGGGATGAAGCAAAAGAAACAATGTGAGGGATCAAGCTCTTGTTCTTGAAGAACCAGAAACTAGCATTCTGGTTTTTCCAGAGCCAAGGGTGTTTGATAAGCTAAGCAGATTGATATCTCCGTTTTTTACAAGCAATTTCTCGACACATCTGCCCTTGTTCTTTCCTGAGTTGAAGCATATCAAACAATTTTGTAATTTCATGTTAGATTCCATGCAAGATTTGGATGACAATTTGAAGGTGGCTGTGATCGGATTGAAGTTGTAGCCAGAGGGAAGGAAAATGATGAGTTGCTTCCAATGTTGCATGTCAGAAGAGAAATCCGCCAGGAAGTCATTAAAGAAGAGCATCAAGGAATACCATGACACCAAAACTTTAGCTTCATTTGCTAACATCTCCTTCAAAACTGGTAAGTTCTTTTTTAACATTCTCGACTTAAATCTTCCACACACAAAAAAAAAAAAAAAGTGGCTCCATTATAATAAATGACAAACAAACATAAACATAAACATGTGTATAATTATTCTCTATTAGGGTAAGGACCTTAGATGAGAACCTATTATTCAACCATTAAATTGGATATATTATAGGATGCTCTCTCCTTGGCGAGCATATGCGATGTGTTGCAGGGGATTGTGTGCAGATGAATTCATCTGTAATTGATTTATGTTGTCTTTTAACACTTTGGTCTGTTAATCATTTGTACACAATTAAGGGTTATAGTTTTATTAGCTAATAAAAAATATTTTTAAAAAAATCTTAAGTACGTAATTTGGAAGAGTTTTACGGCAAAATCGTAAAATTATTTGCCTTAAGTTTGATGGAGAATTTTCCCTTTGAAGACTAAGATTGGTTAAAGCACACAAAATCAACCTTAGGTACTTCTTGTTACCTTGTCATATAAGTATCATCACACGTATTACCACTGATGGTAAAATGAACCCTTTTATTAAATTTGATGATGATTTTACTGAAAATGTTATCATTTGTGATCACAAATTGTGACATCTTCTGAAAGTAAGTTGGCTGAAAATCCTGATTAGTATACTAGTAACAAGTAGCTAGCCTATACGAAACAGCTAGTTCAAACTGTTGGCCTCTTAAGTTTCAGAATTTAACATGCAGATAGCAGCAGGAGGAAGTACATAGCTGAAGAGATAGCAAAGGTTGGCAAAGGAAATATTTCTGCTCAGATTTTTACTTTCCGGGAACTAAGCGTTGCAACTAAAAACTTCCATCCAGACAATTTGCTAGGCGAAGGGGGTTTTGGGAGAGTTTACGAAGGGAAACTTGAAGACACAGACCGAGTATAATTTCCATCCATCTCTTAATTTGATCTCTCCATATATACACTGATTAAGTTGGAGCATAATCCATCTTGTTCACTTGTTCAGGTTGTTGCTGTTAAGCAACTAGACAGGAATGGGTTCCAAGGAAATAGAGAATTTCTTGTAGAAGTTTTGATATTGAGTCTTCTTCACCATCCCCACCTTGTCAATTTGGTTGGATATTGCGCCGATGGTGATCAGAGGATTTTGGTGTACGAGTACATGGCGAATGGGTCCCTAGAGGACCATCTTCTTGGTATGCACCAATTTAATTCATTGCATTTGCATCTGCATCAGAAAATGACTACTCTATTCTCAATCTGTCTGAGATCTTTCCTTTCTGAGCGCTTATTTGAGTGACAAGTTTAAATTTAGTTCCTAATTTGGTTTTGCACTTCAGTTAGTGTAAAACTTTTTTTTTTTTTTTTCCAATCCAAGATCATTCTGAGAGCTGCCTCTGTAAGTATATATTAGTAAGATTTCTTAATAATTGTGTTCTGATCACAATCAAAACTTCAATCCTCAGATTTACGTCCGGGAAAAAAGCCCTTGGATTGGGATACAAGGATGAAAATTGCAGCAGGGGCAGCAAAAGGACTTGAATACTTACATGAACAAGCCAACCCCCCTGTGATATACCGCGATTTCAAAGCTTCCAACATTTTATTGGATGAGAACTTCAGTCCAAAGCTCTCTGATTTTGGTCTGGCAAAGTTAGGCCCAACTGGGGATAAGACTCATGTATCCACCAGGGTGATGGGGACTTATGGCTACTGTGCACCTGAATATGCACTGACAGGGCAGTTGACAACAAAATCCGACATTTACAGCTTTGGAGTTGTGTTTTTGGAGATAATCACAGGAAGAAGAGTTATAGACAACAACAGACCAACGGAGGAGCAGAACTTAGTTACTTGGGTATGTTCAGAATCTTGTAATCTTCCAAAGTTCTGCAATATTTTTTGTTAGACTATCAACCCTTCAATCCCACAAAGGTGTACAGTAAGTTTCATTTTCCTGCAATAAAGAATTGAAGACTATACTCATCTTCTTTTGCAGGCACAACCATTATTTAAAGACAGAAGGAAGTTTACATTAATGGCTGATCCATTGCTAGAAGACAAGTACCCTATGAAGGGTCTTTACCAAGCTCTTGCTGTTGCAGCAATGTGTCTCCAAGAGGAAGCTGCTACTAGACCTCTGATCAGTGACGTTGTAACGGCGCTAGAGTATTTAACCGTAGACAGCATTGCTGAAACTGGTGAAAATAATGGTGATGGAAATGTTGAGAGTACTGATGATGGTGCTTTTGAGGTTGAGGAGGGTACACAACCAGACAGTACAAGGAGCCTATGAGTGAATGTTTCATGAACTCTATATGATCATGTTGTCAGGACCAAAAAATGAAAGAAAAGTTTGATCATCTTGTAGCTAGCTAGGCTGCTCTGTAAAAACAAACCCCATGCCATTGCCATTGTTTTAAAAAAAAATCACTTCTTTTGTCCAGATTTGGTTGTAGCATGATGAAGTTTTGGTGATTTTCTTGATGAGAATGAGGGGCTATCACAAAAGAATTGGTTAAGGGTGAGGCACTTTAACCAAGCAGGCCCAAATGGCCCATAAAAAGAAGAGAAGAGAAGAAAAGAGAAGAGAAGAACAAACTCATCCTTGCAGGTAATAATTACAAGTGCCATAAAGAGCATTTCCAAATTGTCTGCTATTAATTTGTTGTATCAAATGCCAAAAATGTAGCTATGTCTATACTTCAATGATGCTCTATTTGTTTTGTTGTACTAAAATTTGACTTCAATATTAAAGGTTAGAATATGTATTAGGATCTTCAACCTAAAAAACTCAAAAGATAAATTACTATATTTCAAAAAATGACATGAAACATGACAGTGTCAACCATTTTTTACAAGTGTCAATTATGCCACGACTTATATTACACTAAATAAACGGAAGTTAATATAAGGAAAATACTTGCCTCCTTCTCTAGAAGTAGAAACTCCTATTTTCCTGCTAATCACAATTTGAATGTGTGCTGAGATTCTTCTTTTTGTGTTTTTGATGAATTCTTTTTGTATGTGTCAAACTTTGATTTGCAGGAAGTAGAAATGTCTCATTCCATGTAAGGAGGAAAGCAGTGTCCTTAATATAATAAGCGCAAACTAGTAATGACCAATTATGTCCTTTTTCGAATTCTTCTCGACTTCTCCAATATAATAACCGCCTCACATACATAGCATGTGTTAAATTACTAGTGCACATGTAAAATATATACCATTCTTTCTTAATATTTAGGTGTTTCCAGTCTAAAAGAAAAAAGGTTTGTCAAGTATTGTTGATCCAACTTTTGGAGATGCAGCACAGGCAGTTTGTCTCCACCAAAAAGACATTTTATTTTCGTTTTTTGGAATTTTATATATATAAATAATTAGGGGTCAATGGAGTATGGTACATTACATGCTGTATGCACGTGCAACACAGGTGGCAGAAACAACAGGATTGTTCTTTGCCGCTTGCTCACTTTACAAATTTGAATGATACGTTGCCCGCCAAAGCACAGTTGGGTAGGGGTAGGGGTAGGGTGGGCATTTAAACATAGGTGTGTGCTTGATGAATTTTGTTGTTGGAAACCCTTATCTTGTTTCCCTTTTGATTCTATTTCTCATGCTCCCAAAACTTCCCAAGACGCAACAAAAGAAAAAATTCATATGGAAATGAGCCCAAACCAAAGCGTTCTTTAGATTGGTTCTGTTTAATGTGATACTTAGTTATGACTCTTTTTATGCAAAATCAAACTAAACTGGTTATAATCTGTGCACTTTTTTTTTATCACATGAAGATTCGATTTGTTCGAACCGACCCTAGTTGCGTTTGGTAGCTACGGAGATGCGTATTGGTTTTTTGTGTGCATACAACTATAGAATTACTTTACATAATAATTTTCTTATTTGTTCATGAGGAGAATTAAACTTTCAATGTTGTTATTCCCACATACTTGTTCTTTTTCTCCTCCCACCTTATTTCCCTATCCCGATTAAACTTAAAAGAAAATAGTATCTTTCCATCTACATATAAAATCTATAAGACCCTTTAAATGCGTTAATTCAAACATGATAAACACTGCTCTCGCCTTCAAGATTATTATTATCTCACCCCTTTCTTCCTTCATATGTTCTTTCCCCCAAAGACCCGAACTTTTTTTATGTCGCCAAAATTTTCATCATACAAGTCAAAAAGAGTGAGTTTAAAAGTTCTAGCTAATACAAGAAAAAAGGGAGGAATAGCACCACTCTTAAATTTGCAACAAAAAGAAAAAGAAAAAAGAAGAAGAAAATCTTACAAAAACACACATTGAGGCGTCTTTTGAGTTCTAATCACAACTCTTGCCATCCTAACGAGAATGAAATTGTTTGAAATGACCTAGTTTTTGGATACGAATGAGACCGAATTTTAAAATTAAGCTTCATAAGATAATTCATGAACTTTAATGGTGGAAGTATAATTTAGCAAAATCAATAAAATATGAAGTAATTATTGATTGATTAAAGTAAGTATGACCAATAATATTGTAGTTCAGTGCGACAAATTAGCAATTACCTTTAGTGGCCCCAAGCACTTGTAAATTATAATGAAATAATTGCAGAAAACCAATTCAATAACAGCCGTTGTCAACAAACCTAACCCCCTTCATCAAGAAAAAGCTAACCCCTCTCCTTGCATTTGGGCAAAGTTAGCCAAGGATTATTAACTACGGTAAGGACGATAGATAAGGACATCTGGTCACAAACCCTAATTCCATGTATGCTTTACAAAACTACAATTCTTCTTTTCCCCTCTTCATCTCTTAGACATCTTCACAGTCTATAAAACTATTATTTAAGTTTCTAATTATAAAATATTATGCGAGCGAGCACTGGCGGACCTAGAAATTTTTTAGCGGAGGTGCAATATTGACTAAGTATGAAAAATGGGTTTTTGGAATAATCATTTTCTCAAGATAATTTTTGGCGGCTTTTGTTCCTTATACATCAAATAAGAAAACTTGATTTTATGGGATTTTAGTATGAAGTATATATTGACTTAATGAGCGATCATTTTTAGCCTAAATCGTATTTTGCACTAAAACCGAATTTTTATATTTTGATTTGGTGGGAATTTGATTTTCAAGTATTTTTATTTGAATCCAAATGGGGGGTATTTCCTTATTTACATTGTAAACTTAAGTAAATGGAGTAATATAATAATAAATAAAAGTAAAAGGACAAAGACATTTTGAGCAAAGGAGCAATTTCAAGCACCTACTATGGTTTTTCCGGCGAGGTGCACCTCCTTGAGCCTTAATAGGTTCGCCTATGCGAGTGAGTCGGAATTTTTTTTTCTTTAATTTGATAGAAGAAGGATGAGAATCGAACTCTAAACTTTAGGTGAGAATGTAATATCCTTGATCATCATCCCGCTAAAGACAAGACCATCGAATTAATCAGTTTAATATTTACATATATAGTTTGTCTATTGGTTAAATTAAAAAATAAAATAAAATAAATAAAAGCAAACCAATGCATCACATGTCCAAAGGACCACAAAAAAGGCATATCTGTAATATCCGAAAGTTTTAACCCTTAAATGGTAAATGACCATTTTATTTTTAGATTTTAGTATTAACAATTTGCAGAGACAAATATTTGCCAGCCATATGATATTTGGGTTCTTCCCCATATTTTTCTGAGACAGAAAACCCCAGGGTTTAGCCTCTGCAGTCTTGGCCTTCTTCATCTCTCTCCTCTCTCTCCCTCGTCATGGCCTTGCTCTTCGATTTGTTCGAACCGACCCTAGTTGCGTTTGGTAGCTACGGAGATGCGTATCGGTTTTTTGTGTGCATAAAACTATAGAATTACTTTACATAATAATTTTCTTATTTGTTCATGAGGAGAATTAAACTTTCAATGTTGTTATTCCCACATACTTGTTCTTTTTCTCCTCCCACCTTATTTCCCTATACCCATTAAACTTAAAAGAAAATAGTATCTTTCCATCTACATATAAAATCTATAATACCCTTTAAATGCGTTAATTCAAACATGATAAACACTGCTCTCGCCTTCAAGATTATTATTATCTCACCCCTCTCTTCCTTCATATGTTCTTTACCCCGAAAACCCTAACTTTTTTTATGTCGCCAAAATTTTCATCATACAAGTCAAAAAGAGTGAGTTTAAAAGTTCTAGCTAATACAAAAAATACGGGTTTTATGATGATCAATTCGATGATGGAGGGGAGCAATATGTAACCTTGAGTAACTTTCATCATACAAGTCGAAAAGAGTGAGTTTAGGCTCTTATGGTCAGTTCTTTTATTATGAATTCATATGTGTAGGATGTATCTAATTGAAACTTTGGAAAAACCTTTTTTAAGTGAGTAATTTTTATAGAGTTCACAAATTCTTAAAAATCACAACTGAACTTTTAAATACTTGTTCTAAAAAAAAAACTTTTACTTTTTAGAAGTGACAATTGGATACCTCCAGAATTTTAAATTCTATAAAAATCTTTATAAGTATGGATTGAATACACCCCCCATTATCTATCTTACAAGCTTTTAATGCATTTTAAAATTTCAAATTTGCCATCTACTGTAACCCAATAATTTATTTAGAACAAGTGCATTTTAGTAATCAAACTAATTTCAATTCGGATTCATGAGAATTTAGTAAACAACTTATAAGGAATCAATATAATTCCTACCCTGATTCCATATAGTTTAGTAAACAACTTTAATGAGAATCCGGATTTCAATTCTTCATCAATTCAATTCCTCCTCAATTTTATGAAGGAATAAATTTATGGCTACATAAATTATGAAAAGAGGTGGGAAAAAAAAAAGAAAAAAGGGAGGAATAGCACCACTCTTAAATTTGCAACAAAAAGAAAAAGAAAAAAGAAGAAGAAAATCTTACAAAAACACACATTGAGGCGTCTTTTGAGTTCTAATCACAACTCTTGCCATCCTAACGAGAATGAAATTGTTTGAAATGACCTAGTTTTTGGATACGAATGAGACCGAATTTTAAAATTAAGCTTCATAAGATAATTCATGAACTTTAATGGTGGAAGTATAATTTAGCAAAATCAATAAAATATGAAGTAATTATTGATTGATTAAAGTAAGTATGACCAATAATATTGTAGTTCAGTGCGACAAATTAGCAATTACCTTTAGTGGCCCCAAGCACTTGTAAATTATAATGAAATAATTGCAGAAACCAATTCAATAACAGCCGTTGTCAACAAACCTAAGGCCCCGTTTGGGATTGCTTTTTTTTTTTCCTAAAAACCTGCTTCACTTTAAAGTTAAGCAGTTTAAGGTGTTTGGTAAAAAGAAAATATCCCAATTATTTTAAAAGCAATGGCCTTTTGACAGCAGCTTTTAAAAGCACGCTCTGGGTTGCTTTCCAAAGCTACTTAAAAAAAAAAGCAGAGATGAACATTTAATGAATTTTT